AAAGAATAGATTCCGAGAGGATTGAGAAAAACCTTAGCGTTGTTTTCAAGTTTGTAACTGTTAAAGTAAAATGAAGGTCTGAGAGAATTGAGAAAAACCTTAGCGTTGTTTTCAAGTTTGTAACTGTTAAAGTAAAACGAAGGTTATGAACTGCTTTTATTATTTGATTGGCTACTCATCATCTGATCCGGTTGGTTATACGTCATTCGATTAGCTATACCTTACTTGTTATCTGATTGGTTATATTGTTTATAGATTAATAATATAATTGCATTGGTTATTCTGTTTTATACATCCTCTGATTGGCTATATGATTTTATAGAGGGATTTATTCGGGTTATTTAAATTATCGTGGGGTTTAATTACGGTCGTATAAATCTGAAGTGATTGTATAACATTCCATATTATTGTATTTAGGCTTTGATATATAGATATTTTTATGTATTTTTTTAGCCATTAATGGTGGACGACTAATCATGCGTTATGACAAGCAACGCCACCTAGAAATAGGTGACGACTGGCAGGATGATCACATGACATCTGAAAGAGGAGTTCTCCTGAAATACTCCTATCGAGTTTCGTGTGCGGAAGGTTTTGCGGGGGCCAACTGCACAGTTCACTGCAGCAGTCCTAACGACACGGAAGCTAGGTTTGACTGTTTACCTTCAGGCACAATAAAATGTCGAAAAGGGTGGGTTGGTGAGAGGTGTAATATTCCCGTATGTCTGGAAGGCTGTCATCCAACCCACGGATACTGCGAGAAGCCCGGTGAGTGTCATTGTCGACTAGGGTGGACTGGAGACACGTGTTCCACGTGCGTTCCGATGTTTGGCTGCTTGCATGGTGGCTGTAACCAGACTTTCGAATGTAATTGTGAAGAAGGCTGGGATGGATTCTTCTGTGGCCAGCGTGAGTGTTTGAAATTTTTTAAAAAATTCATTAGTTATATTGACAATGTTTCACACTTGTCCTCCCAGTGGGGTAACACGTATTCGAACACGATTCGCCAGCTCCGAAATCCAAAGATCTACCACAGGGCCAACCCGCTCCCCTACATACCAGTGATATTTTTGTTAAGACAAATTTAGACGGTTCACCATTTAAACCGTGTCTGGTAACAATTTCTGTATTACTCAGAGATCTGAGTCACAATTCAAAGTAAGAATAGTATTAATCTCAATTTTTAACAGGTACATTTTCACATATTGATAAAATAGAATCAATATAACAAAATGCGCTGTTTTTTTTAATTATAATAAACAGTTAAAAACAACGTTTTATATTTACACAATAAAACTTTATTGAAGCCGTACGGCTTCCACTTTAAAATATCGCTCTACACGTACATGTTTCGACGTGATCTACGTCATTCTCAGGAGAAACTTACAAGACTATTTTATACTTCCCCTTGTCGCATTACTTCATTGTTATTTGCATATTTCCTTAGTGTAATTGAACGTATATATAACATCTCGCCATATATCAACATATTGACTTGCTGGTCCTTCGTCTCTATTTAATACTTGTTTTTTATATTTCATTATTTCTAATGTTTTTCTAATATTTAATGATATAAAACTTCGAGGCTTAGCTAAAACTAAAGTTTTTTTCCCCATAATATTGTATGTTGGGTAGTTTTTACATGTTCGGCTATAGGTGACACTTCTATTTTATTAGTTCTTATGTAACTTTTGTGATCTTGCAGTCTATAAAGTTTTTATTGTGTAAACATAAAACGTTATTTTTAATTATTTACTCTAATTAAAAATAAATAAACACATGTGCCGATAGTGCATAAAAATGCACTCTGATTCATTCAATAACTGGTCGTCGTACACATGAAAATATGAAGAACAATTTCTGAATACGCTACAACACCTGGTGGTGAACTAGAAATATGATGGCATTATCTTATTTATTCCACTCCTGAAGTAATGTATCAGCTCAGAGCTGCCCATGCACGAAAAGCAATCCGGGTGACTCCACCCAGGAAAATAGTAAAGGCGTTATTTATCTCTTAAATTCGTAATCTGCACACCAAAAATAACAGTGTTTATTATAAACAACATGCCAAGAAATGAAACAAATATTGTTTGCCGCTGAAAAGATTATAGACTAAGTTTTAGAGTGTTTCTATCTTTTTTTATAGTATTCATCCGCAAGTAAATATTTTTGTTTGTTTGTAGTTAAGCACAAAACTACACAATGGGCTATCTGTGCTTTGCCCACTACGGGTATCGAAACCCGGTTTCTAAAATTATAACTCCGTAGACATACCACTTTGCCACTAGGAGGCAAGTAAATAGTAGACAAATCACAAATATTTATATTACTTTCATAAACAGGATTTTTTTTTACTGTCTCAAAAAAAGGTCTTTGTGAATGTATACACATTTATTGTAAAGATTTAGTATAATCATTTACGTTGTAATATATATATTTCATTATTCCAGCTATGTGCAAGAAAGGTTGTCATCCCACGAGAGGATACTGTGATTACCCTGGGGAGTGCAGGTTAGTACAGAACAGCAGTACGCTTATGGATTTACAACACTAAAATCCGGGGTTCAATTCCCAGAGATGGACGGAGTGCAGATATCCCATTGCGGAACCTTTGCGTTAAAACAAATAAAAAAAAACTGTCATCTTTTTCAGTCTTTCCAGTGAGTTTTAATAGGGGGGAGGTGCCATTGTTGTGCAGCCACATTGCGTCACTAACAGTGTGGGGCACGTGACTTGACTTGAACATGAACTTTTCTTTTTAAACAACCATTAGGCTTTTCATTAATAAACTTTCTAGTCTTAGGACTATGCCAGACAAGGTTGGTTTGCAGAAAATTGGAGAAATAATAACAGGCGATCTTACACATGCTTTAATTGTTAGACTCTATAATAATCGAAAAAAAAGAAAATCCTTACTGCTTTACACAGTCAGTTTGACCACTTGGAGACGCATACTGGTTTCCTCTTCTGTAAGCTGCCATTTTGAATGGTTATTATTAAAAACTAGGGAGAACGCTCGTGTATGGACTATTGTTTTGGTTGGGGTATTTTGTATTTGAATGCACAAATGTAAAGACAGTGCTATTTATTTAAAGTAATTAAACCAGTTAAGTAACCTGCCTAGACTACTTACGAATGAGATTAGTTACGTAGAGTGCTGAACGAATCTGATAGCGAGGTTGAACCTAAGAGAATTAAATCTATTTCACAACATGTGATACCCACCAAACACCTCTAGTATAAAAGACATTTGAGTCGAATGGGTCTGATTAAAATAACAAACTGATTGACTTATCCAGTTAAGAGATACCAGACCTAATGACGCTTTCAGAACCTCGATATTAAGGGCAAGTATTGAAACTTACCACCAGGGTGACGGTACCGGTACTCTGAGTGTATAAAAACAAAAGAAAAAATTTATACAAAAAAAACCTTAACATATAAACACTGTTGACTGAGTTGAGACTGTAAAAGATGACAGGTCTGTCTCCCATTTGCAATGCATACTACAAATACTCTTACTAAACTTACTATATCGTGACGTCATCCATAGTACTATCTACAAACACCCTTACTAAACTTACCATATCGTGACGTCATCCGTACTTCCCTACTCCTAATTTCATTTTTGCATACTTTAATAAAGTTTAAAAAGCTTCCCACTTATGCACACACGTTAATGTTTTAATTATATAGAAGTTCAATGCTGACTACCAGAGGGCAGCACAATTTACTAATGTAAAAGAGTAACACCCCATCTTGTTAAATCTCCATGGTTTTTACGCGTGACTGACAGTTGAATCGTTGTCTCAGAATATCTTTAGTAAATATTTTGATTAATTTATCACACATCTAATAGACTCTATATATTCCCATCAAATGAATTAAATATTAACTATAATTTGTAGGTATTATATTTTTTTATTTATGAGTAGGCCTAAACGCATTGGAAGAATAATATTATTTGTAAGGTAACGGAACATGTGATGCTATTATGTGGTGATTTTTTTAACCTTATGCCCTTCTTATAGCATTGTTGCGTCATCGAGGTCACGTGACTGGTGTGGCGCCAACTATTTTCTAGAACTATCCTGTACCTTGGCGAATGCTCTAGTATTTACTAGATATAGGGTAGTCTGGTATATAAAAGAGGGTGACAACGTGACGGGGAAGAATGTGTGTGTAGATAGTGAGTAATTGAACTGCAGTCACAGGGTATTGTTGAAGTTAACGTCGTTCGTTATAGTGTTTGGTTTAGCGCGAATAT